GGAGAGGAGAGAGCTAGGAGCCATGGTGGAGCCGACGGGTCAACGGGCCGAGGCAGAGTCCGGGGCTTAGAGGCTGGAGGTGGAGTCAAGGGATACTCCAGCCATGGTGACACTGGAGGATGGCAGTCCTGCAGAGCTCGCACCATATAGATGGTGGGCTGAGGGCGAGCAGAGGGGCTGCCAGACGACAGCGGAGGAGGAGGCAGGAGTGGGTGGGGGAGTGGGCATTTGTGAGCCTCCGGGCTTTCAGGGCTGAACTCAGGAATGGGAGCCCCCTCTGGGCAAAACATGGAAACTGGAGCCCTCTCTGGGCAGGACGTGGGAACCGCAGCCCACTCTGGGTTTGGTCATGGGAACAGGGGTAATAGAAGACTCCGAACAATGAGGGAGGAGAGGGGGCAAGTCAATATACAAGTCTATAAGGTCTCCCTCCGCTCTCCAGTCACCCAGCTCCATTATCAGCTCACCATCAGCCACGGCACAGGCAGCGGAGCTCCTCTCCGCACTCCCACTGTCCGCGGCACTCTCCCTCATGGCAGGCGTGGTTGCCAGCTCTCGCACCTGGTCTGACGAGTTCAGCAGCTCCGGCTCCGCAGCGATCCTCAGCACTGTCGCTCCATGCGGCGATGGCTCGTCGGTCACAGCGGGCTCTGGCTCTCCGTCAGCGGGGAGATGGTGGGCTGGGCACTGAGTCCGGGGTGGCACTGGCGAGATCCCCCTCGGGACAGTGTCCACTCCACAAATGCAGCAAAACTTGTTCGAGGGCTTTCCTCGGACGATGGGGCTTTGTACACGGAGTTTAAACTGGCGTCATAGAACGCACAGAGCACGTCATCCGGGTAGCTGGAGAGGTTGGCGAGGACCAGGAACAGTCTGGTGTGGCCCTCAAGCGATCTCTCCCCCTGCTCCAGCAGGAGGAGGAGATATTCCGGATGAAGGAGGGGATCCATGGACACAACGGAAACAAAAAACTCTGAGGAAAAAACGGAAACAAAAATGGAGGGAACACACGGAGGAAACTGTTTATCGGTCGGTTCTGCGTCAGAGAGGAACGATAGAGACGTAGAATAAACAAAACAGTCTTTAATATAATCCACACACAGGGTACATCCAACACTGGGAAAGGCAGGAAACACACAAATATAACAAGTAGACTCGACAAAACCAGAACGCAAAGGCATAGACTTAAATACAGGGGATGATTGGGGAAACAGGTGCATGGGATCATAATCAAACTAATTAGACTGAATGAGGACAGGAACATGACCAAATAATGGAAAACAGGAACAGAAACAGGGGCAAAGCAGGTCCATGATCCTGACATGTAGCAATGTATTTTTGTAAGTATATAATAAATAAAAAGAAAACAGATATAACAGTCTGGTGTGGCCCTCAAGCGATCTCTCCCCCTGCTCCAGCAGGAGGAGGAGACATTCCGGATGAAGGAGGAGATCCATGGACACAACGGAAACAAAAAACTCTGAGGAAAAAACGGAAACAAAAATGGAGGGAACACACGGAGGAAACTGTTTATCGGTCGGTTCTGCGTCAGAGAGGAACGATAGAGACGTAGAATAAACAAAACAGTCTTTAATATAATCCACACACAGGGTACATCCAACACTGGGAAAGGCAGGAAACACACAAATATAACAAGTAGACTCGACAAAACCAGAACGCAAAGGCATAGACTTAAATACAGGGGATGATTGGGGAAACAGGTGCATGGGATCATAATCAAACTAATTAGACTGAATGAGGACAGGAACATGACCAAATAATGGAAAACAGGAACAGAAACAGGGGCAAAACAGGTCCATGATCCTGACACGTAGCAATGTATTTTTGTAAGTATATAATAAATAAAAAGAAAACAGATATAATAGAAAAATAATAGAGCGAGCTAGTGTTAGAGGCCTTTTTTTGCTTTTTATTAATTGTATAACAATACCAGTATATACTTAATATTCATATGTGCATGTTGTGCTTATTTGGTAGAAACAGTTAGTAGATGATGTGTGTTGATGATTTATTTGATTTAGATAATTAGGCTGATGTCGTTGTCATCTCTCCATCTCTCTCTCTCTCTCTCTCTCTAGTCTGGTCTCACGCCAATCCATGTGGCAGCCTTCATGGGTCACCTCAACATTGTTCTTTTACTACTGCAGAATGGAGCCTCCCCTGATGTTAGCAATATAGTGAGTGAACAGTGAGCTGTCTGTCTTCCATCATGGAACCTTAAAAGTGGTCAAACTGTTCTACAGGCACAGCATGATTTACACATAGCGCTAAATAAAACTATGCATAAATATATATTTTATTAATATCCATCAGTATACTGAATTAAATTTAACTTTGATGCAAAGCATTCTAGAAATGCCTTTTTCATTTTAAGCATATTTTTAAAGCTGGCATAAAGGTAGAATAATGAAGATGCCTATGCCTACCTTTCGAAACAGGCGTTGGGTTTTAATTATTTAAACCGTGGAGGTTAAGCTAAGAAAAAAAGTTAGAATTCTCTGGTCTAGAGCATTAAATACTCCCTCTGTATTCTAAGCGTGGAGAGACCGCTTTGCACATGGCTGCCCGTGCTGGACAGATGGAAGTTGTTCGCTGTCTTCTGAGAAATGGAGCCTTGGTGGATGCAAGAGCAAGGGTAAGACAAAGGCATACTTCAACACTGCATGTGTTCACTTAATATTCATATTTATCCAATCCTTATTTGATAGGGAATAGGTGTTCCAACTGTAATGTCTGTAATGACTGTAATGTTTGACAATGTCAAAAGTAGTGGGTAACTAACTACTATAAGCTTTTAAGGGTCTGTGAGATCAGGGTGGTCAGAGGCTGATAAAATGCAGATATTTAGCCCATATATAATACAATTTAATGACAACAGATGAGACATACATCAAACTTCTGAAATTAAACTTAAAACTTTAACACAGTGTTTACTCAAAATGTGCCTATATGCACCTATCTACCAATATCACACTTCTCACCCATCAGGAGGATCAGACTCCGCTTCACATTGCATCTCGTCTGGGTAAGACAGAGATTGTCCAGCTCTTGCTACAACACATGGCTCATCCAGATGCAGCAACCATTAATGGTTACACCCCCCTTCATATCGCTGCACGCGAGGGACATCTGGACGTTACTTCAGTGCTGTTGGAGGCTGGCGCTTCTCACTCTTTAGCTACCAAGGTTAGTGATATCCAGATATTACCTCCCTGTTGAAAAAAACTATTTATACCAGAATCATTGTGGCCATAAGTATACATACACCTTGTAGAATCTGCAAAAGGTTTTGTCTACTGGAAAACATGTAAATATCTCACGTAGCTTTTGAAGAACAGTACAAATAAAAGAAAAAGATTTTACATCCCTGTAGCGATTTACCTTCTTAAGCATAAATGAATGATTGCACCATTTGTAATAGTTGAGTCCCTTACTTGACATACAGCAAGTGTAAAAAGAAAAAAATATATACTGTATATTGATGTCAAAATCAATAGTCACTGTTGGAAAGGTGTCAAATATGTATATGTTGCAAGTTATTATTAGTTTCAAGGATTATTAACTAATATTAACTATAACTACAGATATAGTTATAAAAATACTGCAGTTATTGTTACTGCCACTGAGTTATTGTGGTATTAGTACACATTAACTAGAAAGTACTATGTTCAGATGGACTCACTGTCACTCCCTGCTGACAGTACCAAAAACTACATCTGAATCATATAGTAAAGAGTAAACAGAACTGTTTGACAGCTATTGCTTCAATTCACTTGGCCCAGGACAAAATTGTGGTCTCTATACACTCATCTATGTCAAAACATATTTAGTCTGCCCATCTTCTCACAGGGCCCAGGGCAGTTGTCCACCTGACAGTATGGTAGCTGATAGAAAAATTATTTTTGTTGTAATAATTTTACAATAATTTGTAGCTTACTTTAAAATTTTAGATTATTAGCTTTTAATGATTTTCTGTCTAGAATATGTTTATACTAAGTGTATATTAGTATTGTGTATAATGTCATATACATCTAGTTAGGTTAGTATGTTTGACAAGGATCAGTTGATTTATCTGTATTTTGCATTTAAATATTTACAGAAAGGGTTCACGCCTTTACATGTGGCATCAAAATATGGTAGCCTAGATGTGGCAAAACTACTTCTACAGCGGCGGGCACCCCCTGACTTTGCTGGGAAGGTAGGCACAAGCAAACTGAACTGGCAATCTGTTTTAAAACACTGTTGTATATTTTGTAAAAAACTGTGTTTGTTGTAAATTTTGTAAAATAATTGTTTTTTTAATGTTGTAAAAAAGTGTGTTTGCAGTTTTTTTTTTTTTTTTATAAATATTTATATGACTGGTTGGTTTTAGCCTAATTCATAGAATTTTTGGAATGTTGTTTAAAAGAAATACATTGAGGCTTTGTTGACTGCAAGAGTACTGGTAAGCATTGTTTCATTACTGATAACATTTTGTTAAGAAAAAGAAACAACATTGTTTTCTTCCTTTTTTCTTTAATAAGGAACCAGGTTTTGATTGCTCTCGAGCTTGCACGCTAATATAGACGATAACTTTACCTTCAAACTTACCACGCTATAACAATCCCTGTTAACACTGCTTTTTTCATCAAATATTCCAGGTGTCATCAGGTTTGATTTAATGCTTTTTGCAATGCTAACAGTTCTCCCTTAATCATGTTGCACTGACCATCATCCCTGCAGAATGGTCTTACTGCTCTACATGTCGCTGCTCACTATGATAACCAGAAGGTGGCGCTCCTGCTTTTGGACAAAGGAGCATCTCCCCATGCCACAGCCAAGGTGAGATGATGTCATCTTAAAATATATATGACATGCCTTTTTATTTATTTATTTTTTATTTAATTTCACATTTATTTTTTCTCTAGCAAACTCTCTGTAACTTCACCAGCCTAACTGTCCTCTGTGTCTTTTCTCTGTTCATGTAGAATGGATACACTCCCCTTCATATAGCAGCAAAAAAGAATCAAATGGAAATAGCTACAACACTCCTACAGTACGGAGCTGAGACCAACATCCAGACCAAACAGGGTGTGATGCCGCTCCATCTGGCTTCCCAAGAGGGACACAGTGAGATGGCAGCTCTGCTTCTGCAAAGAGGAGCTAATGTCAATGTACCCACTAAGGTGAATGATTATGAAAATACTTCAAATCACTACAAATATCAAATAAATTTAAACATTGCAAAAAAGACTTTTGAGGCAGAGTTTGCAAAATTGCATTAGGCATTTTAAAAACATTGAATGATAATTAAATATGCTCTCCATCACTTTGACATATAATAATATGAACTATCTGGTCTTTTGTGTTTCCATACTTTGGAACATTATCACAATAAAGTAAATGACATTTGAAATAAGACATTTAATTAATCCAGTGGAATAATTTACATTACAAAAGAGCAAAAAAACACTAAAACAAATAACAATGAGACAAAGCATTGCAACAATTATGCATTTTTAAATAGTTTTATATACTCTGTGGTTATGTAAAACTGTGGTTTTACATGACAAAAGAAAATGGAAGAACAGGTAAGCCATTTTGTACCTATTAAGAGCCAATCTTCCGTTTAATCTGACCTCTTGATGGATGTGTATCGTGCATGACTTTTTGTTCACTTATAAGCTCTATATTTGTTTAAGAATAGCCAAGGCCAAGGCTATAAAAAGCTCTTCATTTCAGATTTTATTGTGATGATGAACTCCAGCTCTGTTGTGTAAAGGTCTCTGGTTTTATTGGTTTATTTATTTATTATTTTTTAATGTTTTCTCAGAGTGGACTTACACCCCTTCATCTTGCTGCCCAAGAAGACAGAGTAGGTGTTGGTGAGATTTTAGTTGAGCACGGTGCCAACATTGACCAACAAACCAAAGTAAGACAATTATTATTATATCCCAAAGACATTTTACCCAATAACTATCACCGATGCAGACAATATGATATCTATTTCAGTTGGGATACACACCACTTATTGTTGCCTGCCACTATGGAAATGCAAAGATGGTTAATTTTCTGTTGAAGAGTGGGGCAAGTGTCAATGCTAAAACAAAGGTATTTCTTAATCTATGAATTTTTTTATATTAATATAAAGACAAAATAACTATATAAACACAGTATAAATTGATTTCCACATAAAAAGTGTGTAATTAATATAAATATATATATATATTAATTAGACAAAAGATAGCAATGTGTTATAGGCATATTGTTAAATATATCATTTGTATTCTTGTCAGAATGGTTACACACCACTACACCAGGCTGCACAACAAGGCAATACACACATCATTAATGTCTTACTCCAGCATGGAGCCAAGCCCAATGCCATCACTGTGGTGAGTAAATATAAACACAGTCACACACAAACATACAAACGCGTACTCCATTTAAACAAATTATTCAATAAAAACATTATTCAATAAAATCAGCATAAAGTGGACCCTATAGACGTTTTTAATACATGTTCCCCTGAAAAAGAGAAAAACGCTTCAAAGAAAAATAAAGCAAATGTCTAATGTCGTTGTTGATATTATGTCCTCTACTGTGTAGAATGGAAACACCGCTCTTGCCATCGCACGTCGCCTTGGTTACATTTCTGTGGTTGACACTCTGAGAGTAGTCACAGAGGAAATTATCACTACAACAACGGTAATTTACCCAAGAATGTGCATTTATATGAAGTTGCATTTTGGATTTGAACTATTAACAACAGCAACAAAAAACACATTTGTAGACGGTGACAGAGAAACACAAGCTAAATGTGCCAGAGACCATGACAGAAGTCCTTGATGTGTCTGACGAAGAGGGTGAGTGTGACAAACAATTATTGTATTGCTTTATTATTTTATTAAACTGCTTTATTTAATCAGTCAGTCAGTCAGTCAGTCAGTCAATCAGTCACTCAATCCCGGAATATTTCCTCAAGTATGTTGGCAAGTCTGACGTTTTCACTTGTAGTATGTTGACAGATTTTCAGTTTTCAGTATTCTAGTGTGATTGGGTTTCTAATGTGTATTAACATGGAATTTCCTGCAGTTCCAAGACAGGTAGATGATGGGGCTATGTCTGATGACTCTCTTGATTTTGAAGGTATAGAGTGACAGAGCATGGATTGGTGTGGTGTAAAAGCTCAACCTTTCTAAATGAACTTGCAGGTTTTATTGATATTAATAATAGTTGTACTGTATATGCAAGAAGTGTGTGTGGCATGATGGAATTGGCTAATTTTAAATCTATATTACTAAATGACCAGTCTAAACTTTGTAGTGGTTAATGATTTTTCATGAAACATAATGATATGTATTATATGTATTGTTTTATTGTTGCTGTAATTTGTTGGAATTGTACTGCAGCCAATAAGTTAATAAGCAGTCTACTAAACATTGGTGTATTTTTACAAGTTGAAAATAACAGCTTCTTTTTTAAAAAGGTAAAATAATTCCCAGTTGGAAGTTGTATAATATGTAAAAATGGTCAAATGTGTACATACTGACACAATTAAGGCATGGCTGGTAATTTTTTGGCATTAGATTTATAAATATCACCTTTTAGTTTGTCACATCCTGGCAAAACCAACCCTACTAAAAACACATCAATATCCCAGTAATAGCTATGACTATTGCTAGGCAGAAGCAGGTGTTACTAAGCAGTTATTTTAGTATCATACTAGTGGAGTTTTTGTTCATGTTTTACACTTTTATTAATTTTGTTTAGTAATTTAGTAATTTTTGTTATTATTATTTTTTATTTTATTGTTGTTTTTAATACTACTACTACTAATAATAATAATAATAAGAAGAAGAATTTAATATATATTGTTTTTATTACTTTTTAATATATTTTAGATACTTGAACTTAAACTAAACAAAAATGAGAAATGTTGCCTTGGGAGCTACTTGATTTTTATTTTATTTTTTTTTTACATTTTATTTCAGTTAATTTTATTTTATTTAACTGTGATATGAGACATTTTAATTTCATCTTTTTTTCCCCATGAAGACTGTACATTTTAATATTGCATATATGTACTAAAAAGGGTTTTTGTCAACCTTTTGGAGTACACTACCATGTACAGCAAATTATTTTAAAGCTAAGAGACTAATGAACGTCTCGGTTACATATGGTAACCCTCGTTCCCTGAAGGAGGGAACGGAGACGTCACGTCGGATGACCAACGAAATTGGGATCTCGCTTAGAGAGACCAATCCACTTCGAGTGTAAACTAAACGAGCCAATGCACATTGGCATGCGATTATTGCATCCAGCTGCTGCTGATCACAGCGTGAGTATAAGTAGGCAGCAGATGCAGCGCATATTCAGGTTTTCGCTGA